TTTCATTACCCTTCCTGTAAACAATCATCGTATGTTTATTCATGGGGGAAGTATATAAAGGGCCGGGAGGGGTTATGCCCCCCCCCCCTGATTTTTTTTATTAGAAGTGCAAATAATTCATATCTTTTTTATCCATATTAAGCCCATACATTAAAAAATTGGGTTGTGGCCCCTCCTGTGCTTTCCAATAGTCCGAATCAAACAAAAAAAACGATCGTCATTATCGTTCGTCCATATCCTCGTTGAAGACTGAAGTCTGAAGCAAATTCGCTGCTGCGCGCCTGCGTTCTGCGTGCTGTCACGTTGTTGCTGATCGAGTAGTTTAGTGATCAACTGATCATTAAATCAGAACTGAAGTCTGGAATCAATCAATGTGAATTCTGAATTGTGAAGTGAGGCCTGGAAAAAACGACACACTTAATTACTTAATCAGGTTTTTTTTTGTTTTCTCCAGAATACAAAAATCAAAATCTGAGTTATCTACTTATCTTAAAAATCAGAACAGAAACTCATTCATTGTTTAACTATTTACAATTGTTATTTTGTTAGTTAATTGATTTAGATTTCTGATTGTTAGGAGTATTGTTAGAACTTAGAATGTTAGTTGAAGGATTTCTTAGAAATAAGATTTGTAGAATTTGGAGCATTGTTAATTAACTGATTTCAGAATTTTGCAAAATTTTGAGAAATAAGATTTGTAGAAATAAGATTTTTTGCAGAATTTTGATTGTTAGGAGTATTGTTAGAATTTTAGTTGAATGATTTCTTAGAAAGAAGATTTGCAGAATTTGGGTTGTTGGCTTATGAGCTTATGATTTCAATTTTGATTTTTACAGATACAATCATACAAATCTTACAATTTCATGGGAAAGATGAAAACTATTGATTCTTTTTTCAAAAGAAAGAATGATGATGAAAAAACTCATAATGAAAATCAACAGAGTAAACGCCACAAAGCTTCAACAAGTGAGCCGCAACCGCAAGAACATGAAAATCAACAAGAGAATGATATTGCTGAAGCTACACAATCAAATCCTAATGAAGTAGATCTTAAGCATCTAGAAAGTGATCCCGCTAAACGAAAGTAAATGTGGGAATATCCAGTTAATTTAAGGGAACAAGTAAGACGAGCTTATATGACTTTAGGACCTTTCCAAATACGTCTTCAAGAATATCATGCTAAAGGTTCAAAGAAACATCATCGTAGATTCCAATATTCTTGGTTCAACATTTTCCCTAACTAGTTAGAGTATTCTCCAACAAAACATGCTTCTTATTGTTTTATTTGTTATATATTTAATGATAAGCCAAGTGTGTGCCATGGTTATGATGCATTTACTGTTAAAGGATTTGACAATTGGAAAAAAGTTAATGATGGGAAAAAATGTGCATTCTTGAAGCACATTGGTTGTTCACAACATAGAAATGCTGATACATTTGCTGAAAACTTGATGAACCAAGCAACACACATTGAAAATATCATAGTGAAGCAAAATGAAGCACAAATATTGAAGAACCGTTTACGATTAAAAGCTTCAATTGACACAGTTCGTTGGTTGACATTCCAAGCTTGTGCTTTACGAGGACATGATGAAACGCCTAATTCCAAAAATCGAGGTAATTTTCTTCAACTACTAAAACTTCTAGAATCTTATAATGATGAAGTTGCAAATGTTATATTAGAGAATGCTCCTTATAATTCAAAGTATACTTCTGGAGATATTCAAAAAGAAATTCTTAGTATTATTGCAAATAAAGTTCGGAAGCATATTCGTAGTGAAGTCAGGAATTCATACTTTTGTGTCATGGTTGATGAGTCACGAGATGAGTCTAAAAAAGAGCAAATGGCCATAGTTTTGAGATTTGTTGATGCAGAAGGGATCATACGGGAAAGGTTCTTGGATTTGGTTCATGTTAGGGATACCTTATCATTAACCTTGAAAACAAATATGTGGAGACAACTTTTGCACTATCAGTTTGATGTTAGCAAAATCCGTGGCCAAGGTTATGATGGTGCTAGTAATATGAGAGGGGAATGGAATGGATTACAGGCACTTGTTCTTAAGGATTGTCCTTATGCGTATTATGTTCACTGCTTCGCTCACACATTACAACTAGCACTGGTGGCTGCTTCAAGGGAAATTATTCCTATACACTAATTTTTTACAAACTTAATTTTTACAATTAATATAGTTTGTGCTTCCAGTAAGCATCATGATGAGTTACAAAAGGAAAAGGCAACTGAGATTAAACATTTATTGGAACTTGGTGAAATCGAATCAGGTAAAGGATTGAATCAAGTTGGGACATTAAGAAGAGCTGGTGATACACGTTAGGGTTCTCATTTTCGTTCCATTTGCAGTTTGCTTAACATGTTTAATTGTACTCATGTTGTTCTCCAGGGAATAATTGATGATGTGTCTGCTACTTATTCTCAACGCTGAGATGCTGATGCAGCTTACTGTTACCTGAAATCATTTGAGTTTGTGTTTATTCTTCACTTGATGAAAGAAGTAATGGGAAAACTGATATACTTTCTCAAGCTCTACAAAAGAAATCCCAAGATATTCTTAATGCCATGGAGTTAGTTTCAGCAACAAAGGAGAGTCTAAATGATTTCAGGAACAACGGATGGGATTCTTTACTTAAACATGTAAAGATTTTTTTGTGAGAAACATCAAGTAGATATGCCGTATATGAAAGCTCCATATACTTCTACTTGATACCGTCCTCGAAAAAACGATAATCAGTTTACTTTTGAACGTTTTTATTGAGTAGATTTGTTTACATCCACATTGGACAAACAGTTACATGAGTTGAATAGTAGATTCAATGATCAAGCGATGGAGTTGTTAAGTCTTAGTTCTACTTTAGTTTCAAAAGAACACCCTAAAGTGATTAACGCTGATCAGATTTGTCTTCTTGTTGAGAAGTATTATCCTGAAGATTTTACGGAGCAAGAGATAATTCAATTACGATATCAGTTAGATATTTTTAATATCGATATGACAAATAATCCCAAGCTAAGTCGTGTATCAACTATTGCTGACCTATGCAAGGGTCTTGTGGAAACTCAGAAACGTGAGACGTATTATTTGCTTGATAGAGTGGTTCGATTATCTTGACACTTCCGATTTCTACTGCAACAACAGAGAGAAGATTTTCAGCAATGAAAATATTCAAGAACCGCATTCGCAATAAGATGTCAGATGACTTTCTCGTAAACAACTTGGTGGTTTACATAGAAAGAGAAATTGCTGAAAACATTGATACGAAGTCGGTCATTGATGACTTTAAAGATCTTAAAGGTCGTCGGGCTGAGTTGTAATTTTTCTTCTAGGTATTTTTGGTATTTAATTGTTGAAAAAAAATTGGTTTCTTTTTATGTGTAAGAACAGTAATTTTAGGTATTTTTGGTGAGTAATTTTAGGTATTTTTTGGTGTTTAATTGCTGATTTTTCTTTTGGTTCTTTCATGTATAAAAACATTAATTTTAGTTTCTAATACTTCCCCCCCCCCCCCCCCCCCAAATCAATCGTTCAAGCTCCGCCCATGTGTTGATTAAATTGGCCTTTTCTTCTTGTTTAAGTTACACCCTTACAAAAGAACTTATTGACATCATGCCTCGTGAAAAAGATGAACATTTTATTGTGTGGATGTGTGTTTGATTAATAGGGGAAGAAGATGATGGTCGAGAAATGGGTGTTAAAGGTTTTTCGGCAGGAGATAGAGTTGCAATCTGAGTTTTTTCTTCATTCGAGTTTCAAGTTGCAGGTACACTATGTGTAAGTTGATGTTAATGTTTCACTGACTCTTATTCCAATTTTGACATGGATTTATTTGAGTTTTTTTTTTTCATTTGATTCCAGGTTGAATGGTGGTGTTACTCGATGAGAATGAGAAATATAAGAATGAGAAGGGAAAGAGAGTCAAAGAGAAAAAGAAAGTCAAAATAGAGAGAGAGAGAGAGAGAGGGGGAGAGAGAAAGAGAGAGAGAGAGATGGGGGAGGGTACTGGTGGGGGTGGGTGGGGTAGCTGAATTTGTTTTTTATTATTTCTAAATTGAAAATATATTAGTATAGATTTAAAAAAAGAAATGAAAATGATAAAACAGTCTTTTTAAGTTGTTTAGGGATTAAAAACACAAAAAAAGAAAAAAAAAACTTTGAAAAAGTTTTTAGACTCATCCAAAGTTTTTTTGAATACCACAGATTTGTTTAAATTTAAGTATAAACCTTAAATTTTATTATTATTTTTATTAGTTAGTGTATACTACCCCCTTCCTTTTTTTATGACATTTGGTGATTTCTTATTTACTTTTTTTTTTTCAAATTTTCATGACACTGTTAATTTTGTAGAGAATCCTATTTTAAAATTTTGATTTTTTCAGATTTTGTACAAATAAAAAAATTATGACTGAAAATCAAAATGGATGAAAAAAATAAAATTGTAGAATATTTAAAGATTTAGAGATTTCTCTGTCACTGACTAATCTTTTTTATATGTAAACGAGGTTAAATTTATTTGTCACAACTTTTTATTTTACTAAAAATTGCTAACTTCAACTCACCTAAATAAAATAAAAACGAAGTTGACTTATCATTTAAAAACGATCAGAGTATACATTCGTAATTCATTGTAATTGCTATTTGCTACCCACCCTTACCTCTCTCCCACGTTAATCCTTATCGCATATCATTGTATAAATTTCATTTCTAAACAATAAAATACTTAAAAACAATTTAAATTGTTTTATAGTGAAGAATAAAAAAAAGTCATGTAGTTATTTCTTTTATTTTAAAAGTCGTGTTTTAAAAGACAATAATAAACGATATCGACAGGACAAATTGTACCGCTTCGGATCATCCATCATCCTTGCTTATCCGACGCGTCATCTCCACGCATCGTCACATCCTTCATTTCTCTTGATTTTGCTATTTAAATATTATCATACACTCAACGTCACTTTCGGCATTTATAAATACTTCCACGCCATAAACATTCTGCAAACATCAAGCTTCATGAAGCCGATTTTAGTTCTTTCGCTGTTGCTTACAACAGCTATGTTCTTGAGATCGGAATCTACAAGCCGAGCTGATTTCCCAGATGGATTTACATTCGGAACTGCTTCTTCTGCCTATCAGGTTTGTCTTTTTTTTTTTTTTTTTTCAATCGTTTGACATTTAGTCGAGCATGTTGTGTGCATACTAGAGATATTTAATAGGGTCGTTTATTTATGGCAGTTTGAAGGAGCAGTTGACGAAGGAAATAAAGGAGATAGCATCTGGGATACTTTCTCAAGGCTACCTGGTAAGCAGAGTTCAATTATCTTCCTGTTTTTAACACTTTACACGAACTTGATTACTTGAACATGTATTTGTAACTGGATATGGCTAATTCAACGGTGATGGTGATACTTACAGGACGGATATTGGACTTCAGCAATGCGGATCAGGCTGTCGATCAATATCATCGCTTCAAGGTTCAAATTTCTCGAATTAAGCAAGCATCGATGTCAAAACTTAACTTCTACTCCAGTCAATATTCGATTCCTTTCTTTATTTTGATTACAACCGATCAAATATTAAACGAATTCAGCATCGTTGACTCAATGTAAACAATTTTTTATTTTCTATCATCAGACCGATATCGACTTGATGAAGAATCTGGGTATGGATGCTTATAGATTCTCAATATCATGGTCAAGAATATTTCCAAGTAAATTTACTAATCACCTTAATGATTCTATAATAATATGATATACTGTCGATTTCTTTGAAAGTGGCAGATAAACTAAAATGTATTTCAATGCTAACAGATGGAACAGGCAAACCGAATCCTCAAGGGATTGAATACTATAACAACCTCATTGATTCTTTATTGGAAAAAGGTCATTTTCAATCCATTTGTATCAAGAACCATATGAATTAATAGTATATGATCCCGATGAACATGTTCTTTCAGGAATCCAGCCATATGCAACTTTGTATCACTGGGATCTTCCGCAAACACTTGAAGATAAATACGAAGGATGGTTGAACACTCAGATAATGTAAGCAAGTTAATTACTATCTACTATTTACCTTTATAAACAGTAAATATCTTAAAAAGAAACTTACAGAAATCAATCATGTTTTTTGCAGAGAGGATTTTAAGCATTATGCTTTTACATGTTTTAAAGAATTTGGTGATAGAGTGAAACACTGGATCACCTTCAATGAGCCTCATGGTTTTGCAATTCAAGGCTATGATTATGGTATTCAAGCACCAGGGAGATGCTCTTTTCTATTCCATTTGTTATGTAAGAAGGGAAAATCATCTGAAGAACCATACATTGTAGCTCACAACATTCTGCTTTCTCATGCAACTGTTTATCATGGCTACCATGATCATTTCAAGGTATATCTTCAACCAAATTCGTAGGAAAATAGAAAGAAAGCAATGATACTGTGTTTATATGAATGAATATCTTGATTTGTGCAATCTTTTTAGGCAAAACAAGGAGGTCTAATTGGGATATCATTAGATATCAAATGGTATGAACCTTTTTCTGAATCTGATGAAGATCAAGAAGCTGCAACTCGAGCAATGGATTTTGGACTTGGCTGGTAATTTTTTAATTTTTAACCATATTGATTTATTAAAGAAAAAGAAAAAAGAAAAAGATAATAAGAAGATTGTTATTTGGAGGTAAAACCAATCTCACTGTGTAACGCAGAGTAAAGTGCATCAGGTTTCTTGATCCTCTTCTTCTTGGAAACTATCCTCTTTCAATGCAAACGCTAGTAGGTGAAAGATTACCAGAAATCACCCCTGAAGTTTCAGAGTTTCTAATCCGCACCCTGGACTTTGTTGGAATTAACCATTACACCTCGTTATACGCTAAAAATGATAAAACAAGAATCCGAAAATTCATACTGAACGATGCTTCCACTGATGCTGCTGTCATTACACCTTGTAAGATTTTTCAATAAAGATAAATTCCCATTTCATATTTTCAAACAAAAATCAAATTTCATAACTTAAAAATGAAATTTTGTTTATTCTTAACTTATTAATTCGTATTCTTGTGTAATGTAGCTTCAAGAAACGGAAAATCCATTGGAGAAAAGGTAACCTTCAATTGTAGCATCTTGATGGAGAAATCATACAGAAAAACTTAAGGACAAATTACAAAATTGTCCAAAATATAATAATTTTTTAAGTAATTCCCCAAAAACTTATGAAATATAATTACCAATATCATTTTTCAGGGCACTTCTACTTGGTTACACATAGTGCCATGGGGTTTGAGAAAATTAGCAATATATATAAAAGAAAAATACGGGAATCCACCAGTAATCATCACTGAAAATGGTATAATCTCATTTAAAGATTCATAACCCTAATGTTTTTACTTTTTACTTCAATTCATGACATATTTATAATTTATAAATTAAAAACTCAAAATCTTTCAGGTATGGATGACCCAAATAAATCTAGTATAGATTTAGAAGAAGCACTACAGGATGATAAGAGGATAAGTTACCATAGAGACTATTTATCAAACCTATCAGCTGCTATTAGGTAAATAGCAACCTACTTTACTCTCACTACCATACTTTTACTTTTTTACCCCTAATAGCAACATACTTTGTATTTACCTTTCTTCACCAATAACATGCATAAATTTCACTAATGATATGGGAAATATCCTTCATTTGTTACATATTGGTATTATTGGTAAATAAATGTAAGTAACTTGCTATTATGTGTAAAAAGACGCAATTACCCTTGAACAAAGTAAAAGAGTTGTGATTAATGCAGGGAAGATGGTTGTGATGTGCGTGGTTATTTTGTGTGGTCACTTCTTGATAACTGGGAATGGAATTATGGGTATACGATTAGATTTGGATTGTATTATGTGGATTACAAGAATAATCTCACAAGAATCCCGAAGAAATCTGTTGATTGGTTTAAAAGTGTTCTTAAATTGGAGAAGAATATTACAACCTCATTTGCTACATAACAGGGAAGAAGACAGGATTATAGAAGTGTATATGAAAACATGTGTATGTAACCCCTTGTGTTCTTGAACATTGTGTAATTTGTAAAGTTGTTGATATAAAGTTGAAAACGTAGTTAGCAACAAGGGGGTCCTTGGTCCTAATGTCATGGTTATAACAAAGCTAAGTGTTCCAACAAACAAGAATAAACATGTACTCTATATTCAATTAGTATCCAATGTATGATTGTATTAGTAATCCATTCTATTGGTAATTTATGGATACTTCAAAAATAAAACGCAAAATAAGTTGCAATCAAAAAGGTCTAATGGGAGGATTATGGAGGACCAATGTAAGGGATGAGAGGAGGGAAGTGGAAGTTAGAGTTACGACTCGTGACTTATATTTGATAAGCTAGATCATAAATATAAAATGACATAGAAAGATAAACTAATGTTACATTGTATGAAATATTATCTAAATGTGATTAAGAATAAGAAAAAAAAATGATTGCTAAATTACATCACTTTAATCGGGAGATAAATCGAAGAATACTAACCGATATTTCGGGCATGCAACTAAATATATATGATTTACTAACCGATATTTCGGGCATGCAACTAAATATATATGATTTCGTTTATAAATAATAATTTTAGAATTGTCGATAGAAATATTTCCTTATCGAGGGACTCCGTATTGTCTTCTAGTTTCTAAGAAACAAAAAATCTTTTGATAAGTTTCTCAAGGAGTAGTGAAGCATCATTACGCATTGTTTGCATTTCGAACTGCAATTTTTCTTTGGAGTTTTGATTTCTTGGCTAAGATAATATGTTTGAGCTTCTGAACATAGAGAAACTTGGTTCTTTTGTGCTTACAGATCAATCGGACAAATGGAGACTTGGATAATGTTGAAGATTTTACTTTTAGTTCTACCGGACAATATATTGATGATATGACTTTGGAAGTTGGGAATTATTCCACTAGGTGGAATACATTCGTCTCTAAAAAAATAAGTATCTTTCTTTGGAGGAACCTTTTTGGATCATGTGCCAACTATATTGAATTTGGTGAATATTGGTATAGATATGGATTCGGTTTTGTGTCTTGTTTTCTTAGATTATGCTAAGAAGTCGCCATTTATTTCTCACTTGTAATGTGGGGGTGTAGCTTTTGATTCACATTGGTAGATGGTGTGATGTTAGGCTTTCCAGTTTGATCTCAGTTATAGACTTGTCTCTATCGATTGATTTGATGCATTTATCCCCTGCAAAATGTGAGCCCTTAGATGCGGTTATGTCGTCGACGTTGTCGTTGATATGGAGCTTTCAAAATGCGTTGGTTTACGACTCCATAAAGATAGTTAAGATTCGATTTTTTGTAAAATTGTTTCACATTCTTTTAATTGGTTTCTTTATAGATCTAGCAAAACTAAAGTCAAATAGGTTTTTTAGTGGACCTCTTTTGTGTTTTACATATGCTAGAAGTCATAAGAACTCGAGTACCACAAGTCCAGAAGAGGTGAGCAACGACGATTCCACAAATGTTGTCATATATCGAGGTTCCAACACCGCAACTTTGGTTTGGGTTGACTTATGCTTTTAATTTTTTTTTTCGAACGGCAGCAAATAATATTAAAACAAAACTAGCAAGACGCTAGAACATTACAAAATACAAGATATAAAAATAGGAGAACAACACCAATTTGTCCGGTCTAAGGACTTCAAACAAGACCTATGTTTTAACCATTTGAAGGAAATTAATTGTATATTATCTGCCGTCTTCATCGGGTATCCACGAGCATTTTTGAACAATATGTCATTTCTTGTCTTCCAAATTGCCCAAAAGAAGCAATAACTCAAAGCACACCTTAACTTAAGCCATTTTTTGCTCAGCCTCAAATTCGCCAACATAGTCAGGAGATCAGATCTGTTTTCTAGGAGAGAAAAGAAACAACCCAGACCATTTTTGCAACTAATTCCAGACACAACCATGAAGGAACAATCAAAGAACAGGTGATCAACACACTCATCTGAACTAGCACAAAGGGGGCACATGGACGAGTTCAAGTTCACACCTCTTTTAGTAAGATTGGAAGCAACACGTAACTTATCCAAAAAGAGTCTCCATGAAAAATAATTGACTTTTGATCGGAACCCAATTAACCCATAAAAAGTTAATATAACAATCTCCATATCAGTCTTCGTCATAATCATTCTCAAAGATTGCACAGAGAAGGTTTTGGACTCATCTCCTTTCCAAATCCAAAAATCAGACACATTAGATAACGATACATTTTTTATTTTGTTGCACAACTCCATCAACGAATCAGATTATCTGCCCCTCCTCGGGTTTCTTAACCAATCCCAGTTTAAGCTACTTGAATCACATTGTGGAATTCTCTCCTTGATCAAACAACTTTTTTGAGCTTCTATACAATATAAATTTGGAAAAACATCTTTAAGAACAATACCGTCACACCAAATATCTTTCCAAAAGTGTGTCTTAATGTACTTTGTAATAAAGTTGGTTAAGCGTTATTTGGTCATTTGTTTAGCTAAGCTAGTTGGAGATCTACTTTAAATAGGGGATTGATTAAGAGTTTGCATCTAGGCTTTAGGCGTTTCTGTTGGAATCAAATTAGAAGAGAGTCAACCCCTTGAGAAAGTAAGATTTTGTTTTGTACCCTCCAAAAGATTTAGGGTTGGATGATTAAGAAACTTTAAATGATTTTGGTTTCGAAGTGGTAAGAAGAGAGCAAAGACCATATTTTCACAAAAAAAAGTTCATAAATGATGGACTAGCGAACCATTCAAAGTCTATTCAAAGTTTTTTAAACATAAATAGACCGAAATAATATTTAATTTTACCAAACAATCTTGATATTTAAAGATTAAAATGTTGACTTTTAATGAAACTAGTATTAGGCTTACCAAACAGCCTCTCATTCTAGCCTTTATAACCACTAATCGTCTAATAAAAAACTTGAAGTCAACAATTAAACCCTAATAAAGTTTAACGGTTAAGAAAACCCATATATACTACTATTACTAAATGATAAAAATGATGACATAGATTCTCTTATATTTGTGCATTTTGATATACTAAATTAGAAAATTTTAAAATACTACTTAAGTATGCTTTAAAAGCTTGAACCTACTTTTCATTAAGGGTATACTTGACAATTTTACTATTTTCATCAAGGTTATATTTGACAAGTTTGCCATGAACTTAACTACTTAAGCTATTTCAAATAGCTTTTTTAAGCTAGTTTTTTGGCAATAAGCTCAAAACATAAGCTTAGCTTACATACATCTAATACAGCCTTAGTAAGGACAAAGAAGCTAGGGAAGAACATATGAACATAGAGCAGAAACTGTTTGGATTGTTTCATAACAAGACTCGTGAAAAATAAACGTATGCAAACTATATATGCAAAACAGGTAAAAGAGAACTTGGAAGTTTCGACAAATAAGAACATGATGTGCTAAGAACGTTTAGTTATTACCACAGTAATAACCATGATTGCCAATCCCATAAGAGTTGCTCCAATGGCGGTTTTCTCCATTGATATTCCAGCAGTTCCATCTGGATTCACAGTAAATTCTCCTTTTGGTGCACCACCGAAAAGGGTCTGAAACGTATCAGATAAACTGTTCATCATGTCAACCACTGTAACTGTAACTTTATGCTTGATGTCCTTCACATAATCCATGAAACCCTTTCCAGATTCAGATTTCGATTCACTCTCATCAGTAGAAGAACCCTTTCCATCTAGATCAAACTCCGGGAAAACAACACCTAAAAAGATTATTCAAATTCCGATCATTATTTTTTTTCATAGAAGAAGAACCGAAAGGTGTTGTTAAATGTTAATTAAGTTGAAAAGTTACTAACTTGATTGATGATTCTCGAGGAATTCCACAAGGGCCTCATTTTTCAAAACGGCATTCCACACATTTGGATCAGAAGCAATGGAAGCAACAACATTCTGGTAAGAACCAAAAGAAAGGAATTAAAATGTGATTTTGCTTCAATTATGGTATACATAAGAAACTCACAAGTAGAAGCAGACATACCTGTGCAGATGGGCTTTCGTTAAGAAGCTTAAAAGCTTTGATTGCATGGCTTGATACTGTCGATTCACTAGCAAGACAATTCTTCGTCTCCACATTTTCAGAATTTGAAAAAGCCGATAACATTTGACCATTGGTTGCATTCGGAGACAGATAAGTCCTGGAAAATTTGAATAGTTTAATAAGATCAACTCCATCAGAGTTATGGACCCTAATTACGAACAGAGTGAGGCAATAAGAAATTGCTAAAATTATTAGAAGTGATTGATTAAACAAACAATATACAAGATGTAGTATACAATAATACTGAAAAACACGAAAAATATTTACTTCTGAAGAGCATCATTAAGATCATAAGTGGCTTGTTTGGCCTCTTGAATAGTAGGAGCACCGCCGAAAACCACCCTAGGCTTCGGCTCTCTCGCCTCGATAAAAAGCTCATCTTCGGAGCCAGCCAATTCCCAATCATCATAGGCCTTCTCTACCGATGAATTCGCCTTGTTTTCATTATTAGCGATGGCTAATTTCACATCATCGGAAGAAGAAACGACAGACGCGACGGAAACACTGGCCTGACGAGCGGTGGAAACGACGGGGTTTCCGGCGCCACGAAGGCTACCGTTAAAGACCCCCAACCCAGTGACCTTCGCGGCGGCTCTCATGACTACTCCACCACCCATATTGATCACTCTACCGGCGACGGTGTTTGTAACAAAAAGGGATGATGATTGAGAGATCGGAGTTTTCAGGTGGAAACCATGGAATATATAAGGAATCACTGACCGACTCTATCGGAATACGTAAGATTGCTCGACCCGATTTTACACAATTGAATCCGATTTTGAAAATATCTTTCTTTTTAGCCTCAAATTTTAAGCAATCGTTATCTATAATTAAAGATAAAGAACGTAAAAGATATTTTAAATAAAAAAAAATTAATAAAAAGTATTTCAAGTCTATAATAACAAAATGTTTGGTTTTTTTTTATTAGAGAAAAAAATAATCAACCTAAAGCCATGCGAAAACTTTTCGTAATACAATATCGTTTTACGGTATTTTCACGGGGTGCATGGTCCTTAGGAAAATAAAAGGGCTTGTAATTTTTCCATATAAAAACTTGATTTTTACAAGGAAAATAACTTGTGGGGTAATTATCTTTTC